TGTAATGCAAGTAGCGAAGTTACAAGTAATTCCTTCTTCGTCGAGGACAAATCCTCGCGGCCCGTGCTGACGTCGCCAAGAGATTTTTTGAAGAGGAGTGGGAAAATTATTAGAGTAAAAACCCGGCTCTTTCAGCGTATAAAAAACGCATTATAAGTAGATTTGTCCATCAAGAAACTTTCGGCCGCCTTCTCCCTCAAAAACCAAGTTGGCCCGCATAACTGTATTAGGCTATAATTTGAGGAGCAAACTTGGGTTGCACTTTAATCAGGGGATTCTTAAGTGTTTTGGGGAATTACGGTGGCTGGATTGTAGGGAGTAATAGCTGTCATGTGTGGAGTTGAATAAGACAGTTTAGGAGTTTGAGACATCGGAAAAGTTCGGCTTTTTTGGCATGCAACATGTTTAATGGTCCACGTTAAGTTTTGCTTCAAATTCCGGGTTAGTAATCTATCTCACTAGGGAAGTGTACAAACGAACCCTCACCGCGTTACACACCATTGGAAAGCCCTTGAAAAATGGTGCAAGAGACCATTTTCATTTTTTGCGGAATGCCTCAGGGCAAAAAATTATAAACGGTTCACTTGTCCCCTTTTTTCCTGCCCAGGGGAAAGAAAGATTTTTGTTGCAAAATGACCTAAAAACAGTACAATTTACAGTATGTCGTCGCGGAAAGGCGTTCTGCAAGAAATGAAAATGGCGCCTTATACCATTTTTCAAGGGCTCTTCAATGACGTATATCACTTATCATTTGGTGAGGGTTTGTTTGTACACTTCCCTAGTCTGGGCACATAGTAATCCCTGAAAATTCCTAGAGGCAAGCACTATACTATATGTTATTTTATTTTTGCTCTTTCGCAAGTTTCCTCAAATTGCAAATGTCATCCTTATTACACTACAAAAGTCTCCATTATCATCCCCAGACATAAAAAGTCTCTCCGTTACACCCATTTTTTCTTGTTGATGCTAATATTATCGGTCCATGGAGATTAACCAGCAATTTGTTTTATTGCTATGTCACCCTAATTCGGCTAAATTTATGATTTCATTTGGGGCAAGACGGATCTCTGGCCACTTTTTATAGCTTATATAGCAAAAATTTTTGACTAGCTAGCAAAAGTTGGCAGGCATTACAGCTGAAAAAAACTTTTTTCGTTTGTCTCGCCAGTACGTCAGCGTGGCTGCGAAAAAATTTTCTAACGGTACCATTACTCTCTATGAAGGCATTCTAACATTTAGTTGCCCAATCAGACTGTTTCGCTAGCCAATACAGGGTTTGGCTAGTCATTTATGAGCTTCGGCTGTGACTCCTATTTCATGGCACCAATTTCAAACCTTTTTGCGAGTTATTTTCAAGGCTTCACATGCATTCTGAAGCTTTGGCTGGCCAATATAACTTCTCGGCTAGCCACCCAAAAAAATTGTTTTTTTTAGCTGTCATGCCTTTTCGAAAAATTTTACACTCTGAAATTTCTTTTCGCGCTTCCAAAATTCGCACCGGCTCCGTTGAGAAAAGCTTGCGTCGCTGCGAACATTTCACTTGCGAAAGGTCAAGTGAAATGTTTTTGTGCACGGCCCACGACAAAAAGTCAACGCACTGTCTGGACCGACTGGTATTTCGATTTTCAACTTTTTTCTTGCGCCGAACACAATGTCCTTGCGCTTTATGAGCGCCTGCGACAAAAGGAGACACTTTATACGAAGAAACATGTTTCGACAGGTTTCGTCGTATAAAATGTGACCATTAAAAATTTTTATACAATTTTAAAAATACGGAACCTTGAAGTAAAATAGGCTCGACGCCTGTGGTGAGGGGCGACATTTTATACGAAGAAACATGTTTACGACAGGTTTCATCGTATAAAATGTCGCATTTTCGGATAATTGAAAATAATACGAAGTCTATTACGATTTCAAACTTTTTTGCTTGCTTCGAACACAATGTCCTTGCGCTTTATGCAAATGCTAATAGCCGGTCAAAACAAATTTGCATTACTCACTATAAATAAGGCTGCCTAATCTACTCATCTATAAATACCACTGCACTTCCCTGTTTCATCCCTTGTACCACTGGTCGGTCATCTTTTTTGTCTCTCTTTCTCTACAGCATTTCCCCGAATCGTCAAATCTTATTTCCGTGCACTTTTGGAGATATTGAGCCGCTTTCTGCTCCACAATCTGTCGATGTTTCGTTTAAATGAATTTTTCGCGCTCTTCAAGAAGGCCAAAAAAACGAAAGAAAAGTTTACGCTTCTAATGCCACAGGGGGTTTCGGCGGAGTTTCATGTTTTCGTGTTACAATTTTATCGCAAAGGTGAACTGTTTGGTCGGTCTTGGGATTAGTAAAAATGGAAATGTTTCAAGTAGCGGAAGGGGAAATGCAGCTGGTATAGGGAAGAGAATGTATTATAGAATGTGGAATAATTTATACATAGTATATGGACTAGGCCGTTCACAAGATTGTTGAAGTGATTTTTGACGTTTATACTGTACGAAAAAAAGCTCAAAAGCGACAGTTTTTTCTCTGCTATTGTATGTCTTGAATAATGAATCCATTACCGTGGGGAAAAGTCTCACGAAAAGTCTTGATGACGGCTGAATTTTGAAGAAAACCTGATAATTTTCAAGTTTTTTGTTTGACGAAAACTCCGTCATGACGCGTCATGGGAATGCAAGTGCGTGACGGGGTCGAGTTCAAGTGCACCTGAGTGCAAAAGGACGGAGGAAGTTTCTGAATGAAGGTGTAGACGTTCCACAAATTAGAGGGCCCGATGGGACCCGTTAATTTCTTAGTCTCTGAACGCGGACACGTATGTTTTTGTTGTCGGTTTTTCCGTCTGTCTGTTCGAAGTGCGGTGTGGGGATTCTTTTGTGAGTTGGATCTTCTGATTCTGAGTTGAAATCGCTGAAAAGTTGGGCATTTTAAAAATTGTCCACATGCCTTATGCGTAAGTAAAAAACGGGGTTTCAAAAATTTTCCACTTTTTGTCATATTTGCTTGAGAATTCGTCTATACATGCTTGGTGACATTTCCTCATAATTTTTAAATTTTAATTGACTTTTGTACTTCCTACACCCGTTCTGTCACACACACGGCCAATGCAGCGCTTGCCTTTTTTAGGGCCTTCTTCAGCTTCTCCCACATCCAAAACGATTGAGGCTGTTTTGGAAAACCCTAAAGGAAAAAGTTTCTTTAAGATAAGCCTTTTAAAATTTTCGCATTTGTTTTTATTTTCTAAAGTCTTCTAAATGGTGACATTTTATACGATGAAACCTGTCGAAACATTTTCCTTCGTATAAAATGTCGCTTTTCTCGACAGGCGCCTATTTTACCTCAAGATTTCGTATTTTTGCAGTTCTCCGAAAGGGTGACATTTTATACGGTGAAACCTGTCAAAACATGTTTCTTCGTATAAAATGTCGCCCATCACCACAGGCGCAGGTCCTATTTTACTTCAAAGTTTCGTATTTTTGAAATTGTGTAAAAATTTTAAATGGTGACATGTTATACGATGAAACCTGTCGAAACATGTTTCTTCGTATAAAGTCTCTCCTTTTGTCGCAGGCGCTCTATTTCACCTAAGAATGATTTTTTCGTTTTAGATAGCTTTAAAAAACGTTAATTTATACGATGAGACATGACCAGACATGTAACATTGTATAAAATGTCGCTCATTGGTTCCCTTCCACATCCCATATCACTCCGCCTTTTTACACCCCTAAAAATTTCTTCGCGTCTCCGTTAATGTATACAATAACTAACTGACGCGCACTTTCGGAATTTATAATTCCCTGAGGCGTTCGCCTCGTTTCAAACAGTCTTGTAATTGCGGCGGTTTCCCCGGGTCAAAAGCCGAGCGGCCGAAACCCCCACGAGGCATCCGCGCATTATCATATTCCATTTTTTACCCGCCGCCAACGGAAATTTGGGCTTTTGGCGTTGGCTGAAAGGTAATGCGAGTTTCGGGGAGTGATGCGAGATACGCGTAGTAAAATATGCAGCACGTTTTGGGACTGTTGAACCCGCGTTTTGCCCTTTTAGAGGGCTTTTTATATTTTTTCTTTCGGTCAAAAAATCACTGAGAAGAAAATCTGAATTTTTTCACTTGGAGAGGGAGGTATTTTGCCACATTTTTGATACTTCCCTTAAGCTTTTGAAATCGGAGCTTTTTCACTTGGGGAGGGAGGTATTTTGCCACATTTTTGATACTTCCCGGATGCAAAATGATACGTTTTTTGCCACTGAATCAGGTCCGTCACTGTATAGAGGAGTTGCAGAAAATTCAACAGTTTTTTTGACCCGAGTAGAGAACAATAAGCTCAAAATATAAATTTCAAACATCATCCTTTAGAGTTTTATTATATACAAGTATCATGTCTTCAAAAGTTTTCGTTACGATACAAGTATCCTTCAACAATTTCTAAGTCATCCACATTCAAAAAGTTTTTCCGCAAAGACGGTTTGCATTTTCAGCCAATAATTGTTACACATCACTTTAGCAGGTGTAACTTCGGTTCTTACAACTTCTTTGCTCACTTCTTGGAAGCACAACATATACGACCCAGATGCAATATAACTTCCCATTTTGAGGAAAATCTTAAAAATTGTAATCTTGCTCCTTGAGTATCTTGTTTTACCCTACAAACAGGCAAATTACGTCTTTTACAGAGTTTTATGTGTTTTCATGGGCTATCGAATTTATGTCATTTGCCAAGCTTTTTGCATTGTGTAATACTCTTTTATAAGTAGTTTGTGGCTTGTTTAGTACATTTACGATGATGATTTAAGAGTGAAACGCCTGAATTTTAATTTACAATTTGCTAAAGTCATCGTTTTGTCATTTTTCCGGGGTTTTCGCGATTTTTCATGAAAAAATAGGTTTTTTCCTATCAAAAAACATTCATCATTACAGACTCTTTCATCACAACACCTCCACTTATGGAGTAAAACCATCTAAAACGAAATTGGTCAACGAAAACACCGGTGAGTCCATCGAAACATGGACGAAATCGACGAATTGGACACAATCCGACAGCCCTTTGGCCTGGTCATCGTTTACACCACCTTCTACGCGTTCGTCTTCCTGCTCGGCCTCATTGGCAATGTGTTCGTGTTGCTGGCGATCATTTGGCATCCGACGTTGCGCTCCACCACTGATTACATGATCTCGTCGCTGGCGATGGCGGACCTGTTGATTATCGTTTTTTGCCTGCCCACAACGCTGTTGAACAACTTGCTGACGGGTAAGCTTGATTTTCCAGCTCTTATGAGGATAATTTTGCAATTTTTGGGCTTTTTGTGAAAGTGACATTTTATACGACGAAACATGTTTGAGAACTTTTCAAAACTTTAGAAAATGACCCGCCGTATTTTAAAATAAGCACCTATTTCTTTCAATTTTATACAACTTGACCTTTACTGAGTATGCGCGATTTTATACGATGAAACCTGTCTACGCAGGTTTCATCGTATAAAATGTCTGCAAAATATAAACAGCTCGTATTTTACCCAGAGCTTGCATTTTCTAACAATTTTTTGTGTTTCTGCAAAGAAGCGACATCTTATACGATCAAACATGTTTCATCGTATAAAGCGTCTCCGCCTAAAAGGGTTTGCAGAATAAAGTTTTTTCCTAATTTTAATTTTTAACTCAGCCGCAAAACTTCTTTTCTGAGTTCAAAAAAGTCCAAAAGATCCACTAATTTCGTTTCCCTTTCCTGTTGTTTGGCCTTTCCGGGTTTCAACTCGCGTTTGAGTCAAATTTATGACCACAAAAACGCAATTTACAACCTTTAGAAAAGAGAAAAAACTTCGTATTTTTAGACATTAGGAGATGAAACAAGGCTGTGACTTTTACAGAGAAGTTAAAAAAATTTGCATTGTTTTTGACCTCATTTGAAAAGAAGAGAGATGTTAAACCAGGAATCGTTACTTAATTTGGCGACAAATTTTGTTTACCCACTAAACTCGTTAACATAATTTAAGAAAATTTTTTGTTCCGCGCACAAAACGGCACGAATTGCGTTCACGCATAATGTCTCTTAAAACTGCTCAAAATAGAAAGAAATTTTGAGTTTTAGGCGAAAAAACATTACAGCAGACATTTTTTGGGTTTGGCGACATTTTATACGATCAAACTTTTTGGAACGTATTTCATCGTATAAAATGTCGCCTAGCTGAAAAAGGTGCTGAAAAACAAATTTTGAGTTTTGTACGGAAAAACATTACAGCATTTTTCAATTTGGCGATATTTTATACGATCAAACATTTTTGAACATATTTCATCGTATAAACTGTCGCCTGGCTGGATAAGGATGATGAAACTGTATCCAAATGCTTCTCTAAGGTAAAATACCTCTTGCTTTTTCTCGAAAGATTTTTGGTCGTATAAAATGTCGCTTCTCGTTTTGAAGTTCCAAATGGTCCAAAAAACAAACTTTAGCAAAGCGATGATGTCATTGTTTATCCAAATTATTGTCCGCGCGCTTCTGGCCTCAATTATAAAAGGGGAAAGGCGGAGAAAAAGAAACATAAGGAAATAAATGTGGAAAAGATCATAATCGGGTTGAAAGTGAATTTCTGACAATACCGAGGGACAGTTTAAGAGGATAGACATCAATGATCATTGAAGAATTGGAATGGGGATCTATCTTCAAAGGCTTTATTCGAGAAAAGGTTTATAAAAAATCGGATTTTTGTGGAAAAATAAGCGAAAAAAATTTGAAAAGCGCTTTGAAAATGTTTATGATGACATGAAATGTAATCGCTTATCAAATTCGGTGCGTATTTGTCTCGAAAAGATCCGCTTTGAGCATTGTTTACCATTTTATACGATGAAAGCTGTTGGATAATGTTTGATCGTATAAGATGTCACTAGATACATACGTTTTACTTTTTTCATAAAGACCCGTCCTTTACGGCTTGTTTATCTTAAAGCGATCCTTCTTAGAGGTTTTCTTACCTTTTTATACGACAAAAGCTGTCTAGACATGTTTCGGCGCATAAGATGTCAATTTTTCAAAAAAAAATATGGTCATGTTCTCAACTGTACCATGAGCCTTGCTGAACTCAAAAAAATTCTTTTCAGAATGGCAACTTGGTGCAATAGGTTGCAAAATGTCGACATTCATCAACTCGACCACTTCTTGTGCCAGTATCTTCACGCTAGTCGCGGTGACCGCGGACCGCTACCTCGCCATCTGCCACACCCTCAAATACGCCATGTGGGAAGCGTCCTACACGCTCTACGTCATACTCGCCATTTGGGTGACATCGGCGGTGTTGGCGTCGCCGAATCTGATCTTCTACGACGAGGTCCTGTACGACCTGCTACCGCCGAACGGAACGCTGGTGGCGCGGTTGTGTGTGTCGACGCAGGATGACTTTTTGCATTTCATTATTGTGAATTTGATCATCGCGTTTATTGTGCCGACCTGTTTGATCAGCGTGTCGTATGCGTTGATCTTTAAGACGGTCTCAAATCACAGGAGTCTGGCGGTGGATGCGAGGGTAAGCGAGAGCAATGGAACATTTTATACAATTTTCCCGCTCGCTATACGATTTTTTTGCAGTTTTTGGCCTTTTTGTCGAAAGTGACATTTTATACGATGAAACGCGTTTGAGAATTTTTCATCGTATAAAAATCTAGAAATCACTCCACGTATTTTACAATAAGTAAATATTTCTTTCAGTCTTATAAAAATTGACTTTTTCTGAGTATTCACCATTTTATACGATGAAACATGTCTAAGCAGGTTTTTTCGCATAAAATGTCTACTAAACATAAACAGCTCGTATTTTATCCAGGGCTTGAGTTTTTTACAATTTTGCGCCATTTTTCAAACAAGCGACGTCTTATACGATCAAACATGTTTCATCGTATAAAACGACTCCGCCTGAAAAGTTTTGCGGAATAAAGTTATGTTTTAAGATTTGTAGACCTCGTACTGTTTTACAGTCGCTTCAACCCATTCACAATCCAATTTCAGATCCGAGACGAACGTGTAAAATTACGAGTAGCCACAATGATGTTGACCGTCATCATTGTCTTCATGTTATGTTGGACGCCCTTGTATGGTAAGTGTATTTTCTGAAACCCAACAGCCTTCTGTTGACTTTCAAAGAAGCGATAAACAACGCCGGATCGGTACACTCCAACACAAAATCCAACTAACCCTGTTTCGGGCCGGATTATCCGGCCATCCGCACATTGCGGAATTAGAATTTGTCAACAATTTTTCGTTTAAACTCTAATCCCCAGTTCTTTGTCCGGAATATACAGTTTTAGAGGGGCTTATTACGTCAAAAGTTAATATGTTTTCTATTTCAGGCCGGGATTACTGGGCTAAAAATTATTGCCCGCGCCAAATATGATATGTGTATTTACGAGTAGGGGCCAATAAAAATAAAAATAGAGATAAAGGAGACAGAGAATTGTAAATGACAGAAATTTTGGACTTTTCGACATGTTATACGATGGAACGTGTCTGGAGACGTTTCATCGTATAAAATGGCAGCCTTTGGATTGTTTAGACCACAAAGGCCGTAGTTCACATTCGAGATCCTGAAATTACAGTTCCTTCTGCGACCTTACAAAAATTATGAAAGTTTATTTGAGAGAGCGACGTTTTATACGATGAAACATTTGATACATGTTTCATCGTATAAAAAGGACTGCAGACGGCGATTTTTTGTATTTTAACAAAAGGGATTAAATTTTGCTCCTATAAAAAATAAAATTTTGTTGTCTACGACAACGAGACATCTTATACGATGAAATATTTCCGAAATTTTTTGTCGGGTATCTAAAAAACATAACCGCAAAAAACGTATTTTACCAATAAACCATAAAACAAATATTCCACCTAAGTGTATCAAATTCATTTCTATCTAATTCTTTTCCATTTTCAGCACTCTACTGCTACTTCTTCATGGCCTCCGACAAGAATTCCTCCTTTTTCCAATTCGCCTCATCCATTCTTCGGCCCATCTTCCAATGGCTCTCGCTCCTCTCCTCCTCCATCAACCCGCTCGTCTACATTGGCTACTCGCAAAAGTATCGACGCGCCTTCCACACGCTGCTCCTCTTGCCCTGCCAAATGAAGTACAACAAGATGCGGAGCGCGACGCGGACCACGTTCCGGCTATCGACGGACAAATCGAATGGCCAGGAGAAGAGTGGGATCTCGCCGAGTCAGCCAATCAAAAAGTACACTCTGTTGGGCCCACAGCGCCGTATGACGACGACGGTGGCCGCCTGGCCCGACGAGAACTCGAACGGAACGGCGATGGGACTGCGGCGCGCCAGTCAGCCGCATTTCCTGAACGCGCCGCCCGTGAAGGCGCCATTGCTCAATGGGAAGGATGGAAGCAGGTCCAGGACGCCGCCGCCGGCACTGGGAACGCTGGCGGCGCCGGTGGTGCAATATACTATGATCAACAACAATTTCGGACCGGTCTCACAATGTTAGGGAAATTCGGAGGAATTTTGAGGGATTTTTTGGGATTTTCCTCGGGAAATATTTTGTTAAAAGTAGTGTAGGCTAAATTTAAGTGTCTTCAGCTAAATAAGAAACAAAATTTGAACCGAATTTTTATCGGAAATTGCGACTTTTCAACCAATTTTTAAATTTTTGACAAAATTTTACCAAAAATCAAAGAATCTCAAAATTAACGATTAAATTCAATGCAATCATATTTGATTCTCCCTCTTTCTGCCTCTAGGCTTCATCAATTATCCGAGTCAGACTGATTTTTTCCCTGAAATTTCCAAAAAATCCCAAAAAATTCCTTTCAAATACCTCCACTCGGTCTGAAGGTTTTCATCGTATAACCTGTCGCCCTCAATGTATGTACAATCAAGTCTCTCCCCGAATCATTACCTCACTCTTTCCCGGCTTTATCAACTCTTTTCGAACGGTGCTGATTTTGTTTCCCTATCTAATCGCAGCTTCTACGGGTAATCGTTGTCCATTATCGTTGACGTGCAAATCTCGAAAGAATTGAACGAAAAAAACAAGTTGAATATGTTATTTGTAATAAACTTGTAATATGAGAGGCTTGGCAAATAGTATAAAAAAGTTTGAGTCAACAAAAAAGGTGGAGACCAGAGATTGCCAAAGCCAAAATTTCGGCTCCGGTTATTAGTGTTATGAATGGCAAACCCAACGTTTTTAAGCCAAGTCGTACGCAATACATCCTTCGCAGTATTTGTCAAGCAATTTGTTTAACAAGATCACAAAATCTTTAGTTTTATGAACGCTGAGACGCCTGGCCCATGGCTCGGAGTCGGAGCCGTTCGGAGCCAAGAGAAAGTTCCGGAGCCATGGCAATCTCTGGTAGTGAGCTGAAAAAGAGTTGTAGGAGTTACCTACAAGGACTGGAAAAGCATTGGATGCTCGGCGGATGTTCGGTGAAAGCTTGGCGGAGAACTGGCGAAGGCTTACAATATGACCACTGTTTGTTATTTTGGTTATTTCTAAGTTTCGTTTTCTCGACCCTGAGCTATTGTAACATAGAAAAAACCAAACGTTGCCCCAAAAAACGATGATCCGTAGGTTTTATCTGGATATTATTGATGTGAATACATGTAAAATACCTCAAAATAGGTGATAAACTATCCTAGGACGTGCTCAATCTTATTATTTCTGTTAACTAAGCCTTCGTTTAGCCTTTGCCATGCATATGATAACAAATTGAGGTATCCCAAAGTATCGTTGACCAAAAAGTCGTAATCGGTTAGATAAAAAAATTTAAAGTTGAAAAGAGCAAAAACATAAAATTTTATCAATTTTCCGGACATAAAAATCAGGAACGTTGATTCTAGCGAAAATAACTGATAAGAGAATAAGGTAGCATGGAATTTCTATTATTTACGAGTTCCTTCAACCTTAAACATGCTGTTCCAATTTGTTATAGCACTTTTGATCACCTCAACGTCCGCTAAAACCGAGTTTTTCGGCAAAGCTGATAGTGATGACGTCCACGCAAATATTCGATTCGAATTTGAGCTTAATGTGGAGATTGGGACACCAAGTAAGTACCAATCTTAGATGGTCCTGTTGTAAAGTAGATTTCCTGTAATTGGCCGATCTTTAGGCAAGACATTCAAACTCGCAATTGATCTTCAGTCTGATGAGAGCTGGATCTATGCAGTATCATGTCGGACTTGTCACTCCCACTGGAATATCAACCATTATGACTACTTGTAAGTGCAAAGAGATCGATATTAGTCTGTCGGGAAAATAACGAACACTCTATCGCGTCGAAAATTTCATCGCCGCCGAGAAAATAAATTGTGTAGCGGAAAAATCAAATTGCTTTTCGGTTCAGCAACGCGACTAGCGCAGAGTTATCTATGCTGCGCTCATAACTTTCCCGACAGACTAATATAAATATATTGGTATCGCCTTACTTGACCTTTTGAAATTATCATAAATTTGATCAAGTTCATGCTTGAAAAGAATTTGCCGTAGGACGTTCAAAGGCATAGAGAGTTGTAGATTTCGTGGAGGGCCACGGCAAACTGAAATAGAACAAAAATGTCTCACGCCCACTTTTGAGTTTTGTCCAAACGAAGTGTCACAACTAACAAAAGCAATAAAATAATTTCGAGAAAAATATTTTTCCATCGAAAAACCATACGAAAAATTCTGTTGTGACATTTCGTGTGAACTTGAGCGATACTGGGTGTGCGAAGTGCCGAAACGAGGAGGGAGACTCCCTGGGTTGCCGTGAGGGCTAGCTAGCATAGTCTCTTTTAATTCGCACATTTTGGTACTTGAAGTCGGAAAACTTGCCAGCAGTAAAATAATAATTAGTAAGCTTGTAGAATGTCACCATAACTTTTTCCGTTGCTATTGGTACAGTCGACGAAAGATTTTTAGCCATTTCGTTTTCGAAGCCATAAAAATCTCGATGCAAAAGTCGCTACAAATACACACATACCGGTTAGCTGAAGCTCATGATGGCTAAAACTTTCAGTAAAACAAAGTAAACATATTTGGCTTAATGGGCAGAATATTTGCTTCTCCGTATTTTACCCTAACAACACCAAAAAATCGAATTGCTTTACAGGTCCTCCAAGACCTTCAAGAACGTCTCAACTCTGTTTTCCAAGACCTACTCCAGCGAAAGTTATAACAAGACGAGCATAGTCAATGGATACGTGGCGAACGATGAGTTCCAGGTAGACCCAATACATCGTTTTTTCTCCAAGCTGCGCCCTCAGCTTGCTTGATGATTACAATACTAAAGACAATTTTTCAGTTCTCCCGTGAGCCCGCTGGGCGCTACAACTTTAACTTGATAACTCAACTCAAAGACGAGGACATGACTGAAGACGCTTATGGAGACCATCATAGTGGTTTGGCTGGGTTCGGCTTCCCCTCGAATGGAGATACGAAATGGATTGGAAATATTGCCTTCAAAGGAGAAAAGAAGGTGATTTGTCTTGGAAATTATGGGTAAGGTTTTGGGTTTTGTTCAGTAATATATGAACTGTCTTCTGCAAGGAATACAAAGAATTAGCACAAAAAGCTCCAATTCAACGAGACCCATTTATAGCGGGACAAATGCAGAGGTCCCAACGGTCGAGTTTAGGTCAAAATAAACTTCCTTACAGTTCTTTTTGGTCCCTCGCAGTTTGCTGTACTTACACCAAAATTTCACTGTGTACGGTTTATGTAGTTTCGCTGTGTTTGTTCTCGGGCTTTTCTCAATCTGGGGCCGACAGAACCCTCTGCATTGGTCTCGAAAACCATAACCCTATTGGCTTAGCTATTCAACCAATTTTGCGAAATTGGATATAAATATTGGCCCAATACCCGATCTGCCCCAAATGAAAGGTTGCGTTTCAGTGACGGCCTCGCTTTCCGCTCCTTCGGCGGGTTTCCATCCTTCCACCATCAAAACCTCTCCTCATTGGCCGTTACAACAAGTAGTGGGAAATGGACCGTTAAGATTGGTGGTCAACAATACGGAAGAGTTCGAATAGGTCGTCCAACCGACGTTGCCATCTCGACGTTGACTCCTTATATTCACGTCTCCAAGGCAATTTTCAGTGCCGTAATGAGAGAGCTGATTCCGGACAATCAAAATGGCGAGAAAGTTGTTGATTGTGCCAAAAACGCGACAGCCTTGCCTTTGAGAATTCAAGCCGGGGATGTGTGGCTGGACGTGGAGCCGAAGAGATATTTGCGAAAAATTAAGGTGAGTCTTCAAAAAGTTGTGGTTGTTTCTGATGGCATTTTTAACCATACCACTTTTTTATCTATTTTTTGAATTTTCAAAAAATTGAAGTTTTGTGTACCCTCACATACACATGGAGGCTACTAGTCCTTCCGGAAAGTCGCCGGACTGATTTTTGGCGTTTGCACTGTGCGAAAAGACTCAGGGTGCGAGCGACATCCCAAAAAAGCCTATTGCACGGTGCACGTCAAACTGAGGAGTCCGGTGACCCGAATAGACTCTTCGCTATCGGTTTTTTACACTTCGTCTATTTCGCAGAGAAAGAGAGAAAAAAGACACGCAAAAACGTACTCTCTCGCCCCAAAAATTCCCCATTTCTCCCCCGACACAACGTTTTTTCGCGTCTTTTTTTGGCAAATTGCCAATCGATTCACCGGACTTTTTTAGCTTGTCTCAGTTTGACGTGCGGTGCAAAAGGCAAGAAATTGCACAGTGCAAAGTGAACTTTCGTTTTCGCAGAGTGCATGTCGCCGATTTCCGTCCGGCGACTTTCCGGACGGACTAGTAAAAGATAGGGCTTGCAACAGAATGCCAAAAATTTTAAACAATGGCAAGAAATTCAAGTTTTCATGTTCTAGAGGTCTAAACTACACTAGCCTAGCATATACACTGCACAGAAAATCCGTGCACAATAGAACCTTTCCTTGAGCTGCCATTTTAGCACTATTTCTTTACTTGCAACACAACGCCAAGACTTTCAATTTCAGGCGGGAAATTTAAAATTTATGAATTTCAAATCATGTCAGTTGCGTTAAAAGTGTATAAAAAGCAAACCTAATCCTTTTTGATTCTTGCAACACAATGCCAAGGCCTTTTTGACGCTTACAACGCATTGCCAAAAATTTGGAATTTGCGCGGGAAATTTGATATTTATTTTTTTTTATGAATCCTCTCTAGTGCCTAAAAAATGGCTGAAAGTAATACCATCAACACCGCACCCAACGAACAGCTTCAAAGGCTCCAAGGACTCAATTTTCTGCCGAAAAAACTCCGTACAACAAATGCCTTCTATAACGAAAAATTTTTAGGGGTCCTTGTGATTCGTTGAACGGAGGCTTGACTGTTTTTGGACTTTAAGAAATTTGCCATAGACTAATAAAACAAGCCATTTTGAAATAGGACTTCTGTATGTGTTGCGAAACATATTTTTTATTTTCAGGGATCAGAAAACAAATGTCTATTATTAATCAAGCAGAGTAAATTGGACACTGAGCTGACCTTTGGTACTTCGTTTTTGGATGACCATCCAATCTGCGTCAACTACGACCAAAAGCTTCTGCACTTCCTCAAAGTCATCCCAGTCATCCGTACCACCACTGCAAAGCCAAAAATTGAATTTGGCATATAAAAGGAGAGTAAAGTTGGATTTACCGAGCAGAAAGTTATATCTTATGATAAACGCTAAAAATCAGTCCGACGACCTTTTTGAAGGCCTAGTGTATGTATAAATAATATAATATTACCAAGTTTTCTTCAAAATTCATCCGTCATCAAGACTATTCGTGAGACTTTTGCCTACGGAAATGTATTCAAGATATATATCTCTCTTTATATAACCCGTCTCCGAACACACCCATCCTGTAACCAGCATTAATTGTGATTAAGTATTCTCCATGTTTCCACAAGGCCCCTTCCCACAACACACATTTCTAATCGCAAATCCCTGAGATTTGGGAATCATGGCACGCCATCGCACCGAAGCTTCGGCGACGTTCTTCATAAGTTCTTTTTGCGAATATCTGAGTAGGCGCGGAGGTCTCACTCTTATTTTATAGTATAGTAAGGGTCCAATTGAACGTGCGGTTCTGAAAATCCTTTTTTACCTTTTCGGATTTTAATTTTTCGCTTATTCTGGGGATGTGTTATCATTTGCAAAAGAAAACATAACTTAGTGAGATCTAGACATGGCAATCGGGCCGGGATTTTTTCTCAGGTAGCTACCAATTCCCCAGTTACTACGTTGATCTGAATGGTAAGATTTATTGAAGTGCGATGCTCAGATTTTCCTTAAATTTTGCACAAACGTCGGGCATGGGCCACATATCAATTTCTGAAAGTTTTAGCTCCCGCTTTGCAGGCGCAGCCGAGATATTGAAAGGTCTTTGTTCCCGGGAGACTTCGATGCGGAGAGCCATCAGAGAGCAAAACACTTTTTGGCCGTAACTTCGCTAGTTTCGCGCAGAAAAAAATAATTTTTTGTGGAAACATTGCCCTTTACGGTAGAAATAAGTATGAAATTTTTTATGTCGAAATTTGACAAAGGGTATATTTTTTTGCAGGCTTTCGATCTAAAAATTCTCGGTCATTTCTGCAAAGCGCGAGCTAGGGGTCGCACGTACTAGGCGCGACATAAAGTCCGTAGAATTTTGCACAGTGCATTCAACCCTTTTTTTCGCACGCACCGCGGCGATTCCCCGTTTTTGCACTAACGACATGCACTTTTTGCACACGCGACGTCGGCGAAAAAAAATCTACGGACTTTATGGCGCGACTAGTATATCCTTAAAAATAGTGATTTAAACCTATGCTAAACTTTCATTCGAATCTGAGCGTCGCATTTGGAGTACTCCCTTGTAAGCATAGAATTCGCTTGGCTGTTTGCAACATTTTCGTAAGCGCTTCAGTGAAATTGAAACACGTATTTTAAAAATTTGTTTTGCAGTTTCTGTTTTTTCTCAGACAATGTCCTCAAAATCCAGTCCAGCAATTTCATCGTCGGCTTCGATCAAACTTCTCAACTCCCCCAAAGTTCGAAGACTCAATTCAACGCTCAGCCGACTCAAGGAACGGCGCAGGCAGAAAAGTAGGTTCAAATTTCGAATATTTCAATTTTAAAAAGACTTCACGCGATCCCGTATTTTACAATTTATTGCTTATTTTTACGAAAAAATAAATCAAAAAATCGTATTTTCATTCCGAAGGTTCCATATCTTCGCTTCCCAGGTTGAAGGAGAAATCGGCGCTGTTGATTTCGCTGACCACGGTCCACTCGCCGTTTCCGTATCTGGCCAGAGTCATTGGTTTCCATTCCGCGAATCCCTGAAATTTTGCGCGTATCAGAACAAGTTTTTTTGAATTTTCCGAAAAAAAAATTTAAAATTTAAAACTTTGAAAAATTAATGGAAACCGTAAAAGGTGCGATCTTACACATATAGCCAGTTTGTAAAATACGTTGAAGTTTCCAAATCCCGAAATACAAACTTTGGAGACTAAATTAGGGTTTGCAACAGAATGCCAAAAATTTCAAATGCTGGCGGGAAGTTCAAATTTTCATGTTCTAAAGATCTAAAATTTCCTAAGTAGCATAAACAGTGTACAGAAAAACTGAGTACATTAGAATTTTCCTTTTAGCTGCCATTTTTGCCTCATTTCTTTACTTGCAACACAACGCCAAGACTTTCAATTTCCGGCGGGAAATTTAAAATTTATGAATTTTGAAAAATCTCAAATGCGTTAAAAGTCTGTAAAATACAAATCTAATCCTTTTTGGCACTTGCAACACAATGCCAACCCCTTTTTGAGGCTTGCAACATAATTCCATACCTTTTTTGAGGCATGCAACACAATGCCAAAAAATTAAAACTTTGGCGGGAAATTCGAATTTTATTCTTTAAGAATCCTCATTAGCGACTTAAAATAGGGCCCCAAGTAGTTTTTCCCCCAAATTCTAAATTTCACCCACCTTTTCAGCCCTTTCTTGTCTCTCTTCTTGTTCATCGGCCAGACTCGGCAGATCGGGAACCTTTCTCTGCTCGTTAAAAGTGGAATCATCGTCTTCTCCATTGAAATACTTTCTCTCTCTGATTCCCTTCTGCACCGAAAACTTGCTGGTCGACTTGGCAAAACGTTGCTGCATCGGGGTTTGCGCTGACCCGCTAGTCGTAGACTTGGATCGGTCCGAATTTGAACTCGAGTCCTTTTTCCCTTTTTTCGCGGGCTTCTGGGGCTTTGCGGCTGTAAAAAAATTATTGATATTTAAATCAGAGGCAGAATATTAAGTCGTATAGCCAAAATTTCAACCCCTTTTTTCGGCAAATTCGAAAAAAGCTTATTTCCTCGGTAAACGAAAAAAAATTTTGTTGTAAAAAACCCTGCAAAAATCGCAAAAGAAAATTCGTAAAGCTCTCAAATCCCCCCTCAAAAAAATCTCAACTCCCCAATAAGTCATAATCTTACATTTCTTCCCTCCTTTTGTCCCCTTCTTCCTCGACTCGCCGCTCTCCTTGTCACTGTCCTCATCATATTCCACTTCAATTTCATCGACCTTTCCTCCCTTTTTGGGCTTCTTTTCTTTTTCCTTTTCATCCTCATCTTCCTGCGTGTCATCTAGGGCTTTCTTTTCCTTCTTCGGCTCCTTCTTCTTCTTACTCTTCTTTTCGTCCGAATCCTCGCGATCCGAGTCCTCGTCCTCGCCGGGCTTGGGCCGAATGGGGCCTTGCATCTCTTTTTTCGCTTTTCCATCCGTGTCTCCGTCAGGCTTGAGGGCCTGACCGCTGTTGTTGACTGTTCTGGAGGTAGGTGTTGTCTGGAAATTATTATGTATTTTTTTGAAATTTTCAAAGATTTCGAAAATTTTCAAAACACTTTTTATCGTATAAAATGTCTCCAAATTCTTTTAAGATGTTGCAAAAAACAGCGACTATATCAAATACATCAATTCGTTTAGTGATTCAGAATATGAAAGACCTTAGAGAACAAAACATGTTTCATCGTATAAAATGTCATTTTTCATCATTTTTGCAGCTTGCACTCAATTTTCAAAATCCAACGGCTGAACACAGTCCTAAACGTCAAAAAAATCGTGAACTTATATTATAATTTCCACTGAATTCGTCATCCGGACATGTTTTATCGTATAAAATGTCACTTTCTCTGATATCCAAAAAAATCTGATCCCATCTCAAATTACTACCATTTTTTGTCATCAAGAGCTGATATTACGTTCTTGCGATCTGATTCTTACACTTTTTTGAATCTTTTTTTCTCCTATGTAAAGCCATATGACTAAAACCACAACAACCCCCTTCAACTCACTTTCTGACCTCCCGAAGTAGCCGGAGCTGAAGCTGGAGCGACGATTGGTATTCCCTCCACTCTTCGTTTCAACTCATTTGGATCAATTCTTCCATCCGCATTGTCCGCAACGGCCTTCGTAGGCGTCGCTTTTGGCTGCGGCTGATTCGGTTGCATTGGACGGATCTTCGGAACTGATTTGGCGCGAAGGCTCTTGGAAGACTTGGCCGAGGAGGAGCTTTGGGAGCTCGGCGGAGCAGCGGCTTTCATTTCTTTTTTGAGCTTTTTCATAACAATGATGTAGGCCACGAGTTGGATTAGGAAAGCGAGGCCAAGAAGACCGGCCAAGCCGTAGAAAGGGTAGACTGGGTAGACTTTCTCTGAAAATCCGTAAGACATGCAGAAAACCGTATTTTACCGTAAGGTAGTTACTGCAAACAAAAAATTTAAATTTCTGGGTCCTGCAGCGAAAACTTTTTTTCTAAATTCAAGACAGGCGCATAGAAAACTGAGATATACAGGATCTTTGTAGCGTATCTAGTTAGCCAGCTGTAGACTTATTTTTTGATAAAGTTTGGCTCTAATCAATAGCTATTGGGTCCCGCCACGAAAACTCGAAAACTTTTGGCATTCTGTTTCAGCCCCATTAATCATCATCTATTCTCATCTACAGGCTAAATATGCCCTTTAGAAATGCCATAAATCGATTGCTAATCAATTGCGACATCAAAACCCAATTTTTTGAACCCCCAAAAACTTACTGTGCATTTTATGTTGCTGAGCACTCGTAGTTGTCTCCATATCCTGCTCGGTCGTGTAGCTCAACACCACATTCACGAATAGGAGAAAGGCGAGGCGCTTCAGCATCTCTGAACCACGATTCGAAAATAAATCGACGACCGTAATGAGGCAATGCAATTTTGTGAATGAACAATGAACTTATGAGAGTAGAAAAAATGAAAAAAAAAATTATAACTTTTATTTTCCGCCCTTTCCTGACCTTAATTTGCATAATCTCTGAATTTTCAGCGAATTTTTTAATAAGCCAGGGCGCAGCCTGCCAACTCAAAATCTATAAATTTTGCAAGCGTTGCGGCAAAAAAGATCATATAACATGTGAAACTTAAAATTCTTAAAAATTTGCATTTTCTGTTACTAAATTTTGAGTTGAAAAAAACTAGGGCGCAGCCATTTTGGGCAAAAGACGCCAAAAAAAATTTTTATTTTCAAATTTACTTTGAGCTAATTCGGATGAATTTCCAGAGGAACTAGTTGGATTTATCGTCGGATTGGCCATGAATATAATTGGATCTGCAATGGGATGGCTTCGATGCGAAATTGACCAGAAAATGGTGGATGTGCAGATCGACAAAAAGTTGGAGGAATATGGTAAGAAAACATTTTTCAGAGAAAAAATAGAACATATAACAATAGTAAAAGCCTTTATTGATCAAATAATTGAAATTTTAATATTGAAATTGATGATTCTTCGAGTCTTCCAAATTGAAGAATTTTCGTATAAAATGTCGCCTCAAAATTTTACGGGCAAAATCGGTAGAGCAACAACAATTTTGAAGAATCTTTGAATTTCTAGATCCGTATTTTACCCTACAATTTTTTTATTTAACAAGGAAAGTACTTTTATGGGGGCTCCTACTTTTTGACGGGACATATCTCAAAAAATCAGAAAAAATGTGCTGATCAAGGATATATAAACCTTAGCTGCCCATTTTAGGTTTTTAGGGGTGAAAACTCAGTCGGAAGTTGACTTAAAGTATGAACCCCTATATGAACCCCTTTTCGCCTAATTTTTCACGGGTTTACAATTTTTATTTTGGCTTAAAATGATGTTTATTGAGTTTCTAAGACGTAATAAATCAGTCTTGGCCTCAAAATTTATTTTTCCGACCTTCAACTTCAAAAAAGTTGGTTCAGCCCAAAAGGGAAATCGAACCCGTGCGGCGTCGCCCTTCTTGATTGCCAGACTACGGCACTAACCACTCGGCCACACCGCTCTCTTCCGAAGGAAGAGACCGACTGCGCTTTTTACCGTTTCGAATGCATGCGCCTTTTGTAGGGAAATTGAGCCAGTTTTTGGGCATTTTCACCCCTAAAAGCCCAAAATGGGCAGCTAAGATTTTTATATCCTTGATCAGCACATTTTTTCTGATTTTTTGAGGTATGTCCCGTCAAAAAGTAGGAGCCCCCATAAAAGTACTTTCCTTGTAAAATAAAATTTGGTCTCGCAACGAAAATATTCTATAACTTGCGCAATTCCTTCAGGTCTCTTGCCCAATATCAAGACCAAGAAAGAGAATGTCACAGAGACTATTGACACCAACAGTACCAAAGAGATGATCGAACAGCTCCGCCAGGAGAACAAGACCCGAAAAGAGAGCGACGGGAAGGGAGAGACGGAAAAGAAAAAGGAATTCCGCGTCCCATCCATTGTTTTGGTCATGTTGACCACATTCGGGAGGATCTTCAATGTCGTTGGGACAATGAAAATGTTTCAGGTATGGCTGTTTTTTGTTTTTGCTTATTATTTCTTTAATTTTAGGCCTTTACCAGCTACATTTCCGCGCGGCGGCGCAAAAACCTCCGGACCACAACGGAGCGGCTCAGCGGTGGCGAAGGAGAGGGAGAATGGAGCGAGGCCATGATGGAATGTTGCACGTTGTGCGCTGCTTGAACGGTTCTGATTACTTTTTTGGTAAAAGTTCCTTATTTTGGCCACAACTTATAACTTTGCGGAAACTGGTCGGAATTAGCCCAAATTTAGCGTGCACGCTCAATTCATCGTTGTCAATGCCCGGACAGCGGATTTAGTTAGTGAGGTACATTCTTTTTTATCAGTCTGTCGGGAAAATAACGGCGGATCGTCGCATCAAAATGTCTCGCCTCGCCGCTATCGCGCACCAAATCCCAAGCCGCGGTTTGCAGTCGCAGAGCGATGATGGGCGATTCCGAGGCGCGACGATCCGCCGTTATTTTCCCGACAGACCGATACGTACCACCTTACCCTTCAAAAACGGCTGCAGCCTGCGATTTTACACTTTATACGATGAAACATGTCCGGAACTAAATTTATTGCCTCCGTATGGAACTAAATGAGCCGTCACAGCCTTCGTAGGAACCCATAAAACTAAAGAGCTATTATAGTAATTCAGTGCCAGCTAGGTCGAAGCGTTCTTTCCTTACTTTAGTGCCCAAGCTTGGGCGCAGTTCGCGGAGTACCTTTGTTGTGGCCAAAATAAGGAACTTTTTCCACTTTTTTATCCAGTGTATAAAAGAAAATCTCCTATTCGAACCCAGATCTCCACAGTGTCGGAAAATTTGGTCAAAAAACTTTTGCCCGAATTTGTTGAGCTTTTCTGTTTTGCCGACCTAGATTTCTCTAAATTCTGTTGTACATTGCACCGTATTTCCAACTGGTATTATTTCGATTCATTCCAATAACCTTACTGGTAAATAAATTCATCAAATATGCGTCTCGCATTCAACTCACAGTACCCCAAGTGGGACGCTCAGATTTTGACGATCCTTTGCACAAATTTAGAATAATTTTTTCTAGGATAAATGCGAGAATCCTAGCCCGCGCTTTGCAGAAACAACCAAGATTTTTAGATCGAAAGTCGGTAAAAAATTGACACTTTTTGTCAGGTCCTTAAAAATGCCAAAAAGAGATCAAAACGTGTCCAAAAGTATCGCATAGCCCTCCCAAAAACTTTCGGGACTCAAAAAATCATTTTTTTCTATTTTTCTTGATAAAAATAAAAGATGAATAACCCAAAAAAAACCGCAAAAATTCAAAGCTTCTCCAACCACTTGTAATTTATTCCAAAAATCGAGACAAAATTGCAAAAAAATAGATATTCGTTCAACATGAGATTGAGGTATAAGGCTTGGAAATGAGGTATAAATCGTAATTTAGATCACTGGCAGTCGATCTTGATAGTAAAACATAGTCATAAATAAAAATTATATACAAGAAATTGTGATGAAAATTGCGGTATCACATAATGCTCAACATTGTTAATGACTGGGATCCTATTTACAAATAAAAAGGCAATAAATAACCGCTAAAACGTGCTAAAAAGACGTGATAACAATCGAGGAATAGTAACAGTAGACTAAATAAACTAAATAAAAAGCAAACCGGATAACTGAAAAAAGGTTTTGAAAACCTCAAAAGTTGAAAAATCCGTTCAAACTCAACCGAAATTGACGTGAAAACCGGGGAACAACAGATGGATCAAGATCAAATTTGTTGAACTTGGCATCGAAAATGTGTCAGCAAAGATGATTCTGAAAGAAAAAAAAATCTTTTTAAACCAAAACAGCAAATTTTGGAAATAATTTTTGATGAAACCCTTCAATTTCTCTAGTCAAAATTCTTTTTTTATAAAGTTTAGTGCTGAAAAAGTGATCAAGACTACAAATCACCTAAAAAATCACCCAATCCTGTCTTACAGTGGCAGACCTGACCCAGTGGCAAAAAATGTACCATTTTGCATCCGGGAAATATCAAAAATGCAGCAAAATACCTCCCTCTCCAACTGAAAAGACTCCGATTTCAAAGGCAGCTAGTTAAAGGGCGCGCTCTTTAAAACGGAGTTTTTTCAGTTGAAGAGGGAGGTATTTTGCTGCATTTTTGATACTTCCTGGATGCAAAATGATACATTTTTTGCCTCTGGATCAGATCAGCCACTGTAAGAGGGGATTGGTAATTTATTAGGTGATTTGTAGTCTAGACCACTTATTCAGCACTAAACTTTATAAAAATAGAACTTGAACTAGAGAAATTCCAGGGGCCAATGCGCTATCTGAAAGTTTGCTGAAAATCATAGGGCGCAGCTCGGAGAATTTGCACGGGCGCAGCTCGCGTCTTGGACGCAGCTCGAAAACAAGCTGAAACTTAGCCCCGGCGAGCTGCGAAAGCTTGTTTTCCGAGCTGCGCCCTACCATTTTCAGCTAACTTTCAGCAAACTTTCAGACGCATTGGCCACAGGTTTTCATTTCTTTTCAACCAAAATAGTTTCATATTTCCTCCAAAATTCCTCTCCAACCCACCTTATGGAATGTATTTCCTTAACTGCGGAGCAGCTTGACGCTTGATTGGCATGACCACATCCCTCTCCTCCTCCTTCTCATAATCAAACTGCCTCTTCTGTATTTGATACAAGTCATGGCAAAAGCAGTCCAGGCTGCACTTCTTCTCCCGGCAAAGGCATTGGCACAGGCGTTCGCAGGGCTCGGTCGGAGTCTTCCCGATGTTGGCTTCGAATTTCTTCTCGTTGAACGGGAGTTGTCGACGTCTCTCGATGTCAGCTTGAAAATCTCTCGGCTCTTTGCCGCTGGCCTGGGAGGTTTCGGGCGTCAGCGTGACGGGTGTGACGTTTCCGGAGCCGGTCTGAAGTCAGCACACACATTGTTGGGCATTGTCTGAAGCGTTGATTGGCCGTGAATCACAAGTCTCTTCTCTGTGCGCAAACCCGGTGCAAAATTTGGTGCAAAATTTTGAGTAAGACTTCAAATTCAGAGCAAAAAAAAATTTTTTTTTTCGGAAATCCAAACCAAAAAAATTTTTTTTGAAAACCCAAGCAAAAAAAAATTTTTTTGAAAAAACAAATTTAGATTTGTAAAGAAAAAACACAACATTTAGCGATAAACAATAGCCAAAACGGGAAAAGCGACAGATGGGAGACCGTTTCACCACCAAAAAACGTTCAAAATAAAGGGAAAACAAGGGGAAAAAGACAGCAGAAACAGGTAGTGGCGGACCTGATCCAGTGGCAAAAAACGTACCATTTTGCATCCGGGAAGTATCAAAAAATGAGGCAAAAAATCTCCTTCTTCAACTAAAAACTCCGTTTTGAAAAGCCTTCTCCCACAAAAAGAGAGAGAGCGCGCTTTAAAAATCAGAGTATTTTCACTTGGAGAGGGAGACGTTTTGCCGCATTTTTGATACTTCCCGGATGCAAAATGGTTCGTTCTTTGCCACTGGATCAATTCCGCCAAGGTTGACAAAAGCAGAAAACACAAAAAGAACAGTGAAAATTCATCACAACCAAGCCTTTTTACAACAAACTAACTAAAAACTTAAGCTTTTCCAAGAAAAATTTTGAGGAAACTTCAAACTCCCATACTAAAATTTTCCTTCGAAATTACAGTATTTACAGGCCCCACAGTTTTTATAGGGCCCTCAAATTTTCACATACACTATGAAAAAGGTCAAAAAACACCATTACAAGACAAAAACCACTCAAAAAAAATTTTGCAAAAAATCAAAAAATCTCAAAATTAAAATTTTTTCTTCAAAAAACAAAAAAATCGTTCCAAAAGCATAACCGAACCTCCACAGCCTTCCAAACTTCATTTTCACTTCACAAAACGCCCAAAAACACTACCAAAAAGCAAAAAAAATCTTCAAAAAACCAAAAAAAACCTACTTCTTTTACTCCTTTATTTCTCAACAACGTCAGCTCTTCAACTCTTGTCCGATCGTCCTTGATCACATCCACAATGCTTTGCAGTTGCTTCTCCTCCTCCAGAGACATCATTGGAGTCCATGATGTTCTGGGATGTTCTTGGCTTTGCTCTTCCTTCTTCTTCCGTCTCCAGAACCATTTCTTTGGCGGATCCGCTGGTTCCGACTGGCTTTCTTCGCAAGCTGATGATGTCTGAATTGGTTGCGCTTCGGCCGGCAGATTCTCAACTAAAACTGACTCTTCTGGCTGTGTCTCCGCCGGTATGGGTCGTTCATTGTATGGTGGGAAATACTTCTTCAACTCCTTTTCATTTAGCAGGCTTAGGTCGGGTTGTGGGATCGGATCTAGGCGATTAACACCGTCAAATTGGAAGGGTTGGAACGGAGTGACGTTCTCTTTCTCCTGGTCTTCCTGATTGCCCACAAACTCCGGCTCCGCTCGGATCAGGTTTCCATGTTCATCAATCGGAAATTCGAGCTCTTCCAACGGGCATCGGTAGTAGGCGCAGATTTGTCGATCCATTTGGTCCATGGGGCAGCTGAAAAAAATTTTTTTTTCCAATTATCCGACCAAGAAAATTTCTTCAAAAATATCGATCAAAAATCAATGAAAACGATCATTTTACTCCCTAGTGACATTTTATACGATAAAAAATTTCCAGACAACACAAAAAAAAATCCAAAACCTGTCGACTTACTGATGATGAAAATTCGGATATCTTGTCGGGGAGTTCTGCCGTTGTCTGTAAAAGAACTTCCGATAGTACTTCGACTCGTATCGCGGATCCATTTTGGGGTTCTTATTGAATTTTGCCGTCATTGCCTCGTCTTCGTTTCGCATATCCTTGGCCGCCACAACTTTGGTTGTTTGAAAGTTGAACAGATCCGAGGGTTTGTCCCATCTGTCGCCGGGCAAATCCTTGCCGCCGTTGAGTGTGGGATGGAGGCGGATGTTGATGCTTTTTGTGGCCTCCAACGCCTCCAAATCGTCAAGTTCTTTCTGGGTTTCCGCTTTCAAGTCCAGCATCTTCTTCAGAAAGATCTCTCGAAACATGGGAACATGTTCTGTGGCGAGGACTTGTTCCACGGTTAGATCCTCTTCCAAGGGCAGCTGAAATCGACATCCATTATTAGGAATCCCCAAAGAAGTCGTCGAAATTTAACGACGTCTCTTTTTGATGTCAAAACTTAACAAAATTTTAACACGGTTTTGTGAGTTGCGGTGTTGTCGATTGGAATTCTGTTTAGTGTGGGGTGTGCAATATCGTTACGAATAATCAGTTTTTTCTATGCGTGAGCTGCAAAGATGTAGCCGAAAAAACATTTTTCTCGCTGCCCAAACTTCCTGATTCTATGAGTTTTTCGTGGAGAAACATCGAAGAAGAATAGCCCTACTGTGCTTTGCTGAGACACTCAAGATACAGTGGCGGACCTGATCCAATGGCAAAAAAATTTTGCATCAGGGAAGTATCAAAAATTTGGTAAAATGCTTCCCTCTCCAAATGAAAAAACTTCGTTTTGAAGCCCTTTCCCTTACAAAAACAGCGGGCATGGTTTTGAAGTCGGAGTCTTTTCACGTGGAGAGGGAAGCATTTTGCCACATTTTTTAGGCTTCCCGGATGCAAAATGGTACGTTTTTTGCCATTGTATCAGGTCCCACACTGTATCTTGAGTGTCTCAGCAAAGCACAGTAGGGATGCTCTTCGATCTTCGACGAAAAAGCCATAAAATCAAGAAGTTTGGGTAGAGAGAAAAATGTTTTTTCAGCTAAATCTCTGCAACTCATGCATGGAAAAACTGATCATTCGTAACGATATTGCACACCCCACAAAAAAACAAAATTCCAATCTACAACACCGCAACTCACAAAAATGAGTCAAAATTTTGTTAAATTTCAACGTCAAAATCTTTTTTGCTAATGCAAAACGCAACCTATACATCTTGCGTAAATCTTGGACGAACTTTTTTCTTTCTTTTTTTTCTCACCCCTTACCCTAATAATTGTATCGGTGAGGTTCGTTTTAAACGCGTGTTTCACTTCCCGGCCTTCAACCTTTTTTACAACACCCGTATGGGACTTGCAAATCTCTTTGCATTGCCGCATTTTCAAGTCAATTTGATTCAATTTCCTCTTGGTTTCGGCGATGAAATCGATGCGTTCTTGGCGTTTTCGGGTCAATTTCACAAAGTCCTGTGCTTTGGCCATGTCTTTTCCGCTGGTGATGCATTTCGTGACCACAAACAGGCGGAGTTTGTCCGTAATCTCCGGATTCGCGGTTTTGTGGGCGCCGTCGATTTCGTAGCGGCCAAAGGTTTGATAATGCTCGCCCACTTGGGCGTAGAGGTTGATGGGGCCTTCGGTGCCTCTGGCCTGTTTCGTGCTCCGCGGGATTTGTTGTTCGGTTTTCGGGGGCGGAGCCAGGGTCCTGGGTTCGTAGAATTTTTCGACCAGACCATTGTGGAAGGCGACCCGCATCATATCGCTGATTTCTTCGCGGGGCGGGGGACGTCTTGGGTATAAAAGTGGCAGTGTTACCCTCGGACAATGTTCCTCCAATCGAGGGGGTTCGTTGACCGCGACACGGACTCTGGGAATGTTATGGGCCATGGTTTGAAGCTCGTCCTGACTCTTCGAAATCTTCAGCTCCCTTTGGTCGTCCGGCAAAATCTCCTTTATCCTGCGTGGAACGAGATCCAATTGTCCGTCTTCTTCCTTCACTTTGTACAGGACTTTGTTCCGATACAAGTGTTGTTGATATCCTTCTTCAGTCGGTTCGATCAAATTGTGTGATTCGGCGTCTTCGTAGATCCCGTTCACTGCACTGTTGTACAGAGCATCTTGGCCGTTCGCTGGTTTGACGCAAGTAGCCTAAAATTAAAAAAAAAAATTAATCGAATATAAAGGACATTAAAAACCAAAAATTCGGAAAAAATAATTTTTTTTTTGGATTCAAATGGTGGTATAGATCAAAATTTTTTTCTTCTAACCTCTCCAACACCACGATAACATGTGGCCCGGATAAATTTCAAAAAATTTCCCAAAATCAAAAAAATCCCAAAATCCTTCGTATAAAATGTCCCCTCAAAATCCCAAAAAAATCCTCAAACATCCTTACCAATAATTTTTGGTCGATAACTTCAGAGAACACCGGTTTCTTCGCTTCGGTGTCAACAAACTGTAGATGATGTAAATCCTCCACTGGGAAGTCATGTTTCGGGACGCCGTCCATTCGGATGGCCTGACATCCTTCTCTAAAGTCATCGCGGATGTACTTCAACTCCTCTTCGTTGTGTCTCTTTGCTCTATCATCGTTTTGCAGGCAATGTTGGTCGTTCTTTTGAGCGCGGCGGATATAATTGACTTGTTTGAACGCTAAAGCAAAATAAAATTTAAAAATCCTAAAAAAATTCTTACCCGACGGCCTCAATGGTACTCTCGACTCATCCGATTGTTCAAAATGCCCTTCGCAGTATCCGGGACACGTGAACATCGTGTTGAACCAAACATGACCAAATGTAGGGGGCTTTTTGACAAAGTCGTGGTACAAATCCGTTTTCTTCTTTTTTGAGGGCGACGAGTTGAGGGCACGCTGTTTTGCAAAGTCTTCGGCGTTCGAGTAGATCAGTTCCACTTGAATGTCGCCTTCCAAAAACACCGACGAGCCGTCTGCTCCGGTCGTCCAGCCAAACGCCATGCTAAAAATTTGGAAATTCAAATGTCTGCAGTGGCAGAACTGATCCAGTGGCAAAAAGCGTACCATTTTGCACCCAGGAAGTATCAAAAAATGTGGCAAAATACCTCCCTTTCCAAGTGAAAAAACTCCGTTTTGAAAAGTCCCTCAAAAAGGAGCGGGTGCGCTTTTGAAATCAGAGTTTTTTCACTCGAAGAGGGAGGTACTTTGCTATATTTTTTGATACTTCCCGGATGCAAAATGGTACGTTTTTTGCCACTAGATCAGGTCCGCTGTAATCTCAAAAAAAGAAGAAATGCCGAGAATTTCTCCAACCAACACTAAAACACAATCAAAGAATACCCTTTTAGAGCATCAATAGGACAGAAGACTTCTCCCTCCAGTCCAAAAAACCACAAAAAATTTCCCACTTTTTCTCCAAAAAAAAATTTTTTTCTCCCAACCCGTCAAAATTTTCTCTTTTAAACCTTTCCACACTCCCTGATCTATTTATTCTTCCACTAAACTCCTCTACGCCCTCAAATCCCAGATTCCTCAAGAAAAAAATCCCGACTTACTGGCTAATCAACTGTTTTTCAGGCTGAACCCTCGTCAACGGATGATATGGGTACTTCAAGGTCAAAACCTCGTGTTTCTTCTGCGTCTCGATGTGTTCTCTTTTGATTTCAATAATCAAGCTTTCAAACACCACCACATCTCCATTGGTCACCCTGACTTTGATGTAATAGGGGTCCTTGTGTTCTGGGATGCCCTCCAAGAAGATGCCGACCAATTCGCACCGCAATGGGAGATAATTCAGCTTCTTTCGGCGCAGATGCTCATAATAGTAGATGTAGCGGCGTTGGGAGGGAATGGTGACTCCTTGGTTGTTGATTGTTCGCACAATCGAGTAGTAATCGAGGACCTGGCGTGGGTTGGGAAAGAAGTTGATGTGGACGAGGTAGGCGCAGATCATGACTCCGGTCCGGCCTTTGCCGGCCTTGCAATGAACCGCAATCACGTGTCGGGGATCTTGTTCGAGCCAGAGTTGGGTTTGACGGCAAAACGGGGCCATGAATTCGAGGCGCGGTGGATGATGATCCTCCATTTCAAAGGAGGTCACACACCGTCCGAAGTGGCCGGGGTCGTACGAATATCGGCCGCGTCTGAAAATAGAGATGTTATAAAACATTACAGTGGTTTTAAAAACAAATTACAAGGCCCAAAAACCGCCAATTTCAAAAAAAAAAAAAAAAAAAATAATTTGACCAAGTATAATATAAATCAAACAAAAAATTAATCCCGATACGCCTTTATAATAATTCCAAACCCAAAACCAACTAATAAATTCCCACAATTTACCAAAAGAACCCCAATTTCTTATGCAACTTACAGATTGAAGATCCAAAACTTGTCCTTGTGAAACTTGGCCAAAAACCGTTTCGTTGAGTTCATGGCGTTTCTATACAAAGCTTCAACGTCGTCCGCTGGGTACCCCATAGCAATTACTCGGTCCGTGATATCTGAAAACAAACAATTCGTATCAAAAAATGAAGTAAAAATTACATCATCTGTTACCATCACATTACGTCATTCTAAAACAATAAAAAATCCAAAAAAAATCCAACCTACAAGTCAAATCCAAGTTGAATCCGTACTTGACGAACCTTCGGCGACGTTGCGAGACAATCTTTCGGAAGGGATTTGCCAAACTGATGAACGCGTTTTTACATCCGCCAGAGACGGCGCGGGTCAATGGCAGGATGGGACGAGACGGCGTCACAAAATACATCGGCAATTCGTATACGTCGTTCTTGATCGGGCGGCAATACCATTCGAGAAACTCTTTGTCCAGCTCCATGTTTTCTAAAAACGGAAATGCAAAAATAAAAATTTCGCTTACCATCATTTGCAAGATCATACAAGTTTATCATAGGCGCCTCCGGCCGCGGAGACGGGTTTATATCGTCGAAGACTTGGTGGGCCACGGCCACTCTGGCTGGAATCGTCACGTCTTTCTGTATAAAAGAAGCTGATGTCGGTTGTTCATTATGATCCAAGAAATTTATTTTTGGTGGCTCATCTATCTTCCTCGAAGGTCCTGCTACAGGCTCTTCGACCTCCCTTGAGGGACCTGCTACTGGCTCATCAATCTCCCTCGAGGGACCTGCTACCGGCTCGTCAATCTCCGTTGACGGACCTGCTACTGGCTCGTCAATCTCCCTCAAAGGACCTCTTTCAGGCTCATCTGGCTGCAACGAGCGATCTGGTCTGTCGTCCATCGAATTGTCGGATCCCAGATCCTGCGAGTTGGACAGCGTGGCCACACCCGACGACGATGATGAGCCCAACGGCTCTGAACTGCGCTTGGAGGTCGGGTGCTGCAAGAATTCGGGAGTAAAAATCGAAATAGTAGAGCAAATCATATTACACATGACCACAGAGCCAAATTTAATGAAAATATCGATAGTCTGTCCTAAAAACGGAAAAAACAAAGTTCAAAACAAACTTACTGGCTCCGGGACGCAGTTCAGGCTCGAGGATTCGGGACAGGGTCGGCTTTGACGTCGAATACGCGGCGGCGAATGTGTTGCGCTCGGATCTAGGAGTTCGTCGAATTGAGAGGACGACGGATCCGTCAGTAACGTTGAGCTGAAATTAGAAGCATAACTACAGCTTTTACTATCTATAAAAATCATTTACATCCCATTTCAGACTCGAATCCGATTAGAAACTCACAAATCTTCCGAGGCCATAATCAACACCAAAAATGAGATTCTACAAGGAGATAGCGAGAGCTAGACGCACAAATTTTAATTCGCAATTTAAGGTAGGGCCAAAAATTACATTTAATTAGCGTTTAAGCCCCCATCAGCATGGCCACTCCCCGTAAATCCGCCGCTTCTAATCCGAACCCCACGAGCATGGAGAACATCCGGAAATTCGGACGAAATCCGGTAATTCTTACAACGGATTAATCCTATTAGACACCTTAAATGCGTCAAATCAATTTTGGGACAAAAAACGTAATTTGCGAAGACATTTATATTGTACATGATTAGGTTTTATAGTCGAAGAAAATAAAGATAAAGTACAGGGTTTCTTGAGAAGAAGGGGTGTGGAACAAAGACTAAAAGAGGATGGAGGCGTTCCTGCATAAGCTCAGCCAACAATTTATAATAAAATCGCTGAATTTTTTCGAGTATCTCTCGACATACATTGACTAAAACAATATCGCAAAATTCGGCTATAAATGGAGGAAAAAACTAAAATACACCTAATCTAGCGCCATAAATCGCCTCAAAAGCCCTAATCACATTGCCTCTTCCTATAATGAGGGCCAAAAATGCTTCCTCCGATATTACACATGACATTCAAATCGCATTCCCCAAAAAAAGATCCCCCATCACACCGTAATTAATCCAAATTATTTTAAGCACAAACTAATACGGATTTCGCGGCCGGAGAACGTGAATACCACCAGTCGTAGCGCGTTTCCGACATTATTCTTGCGGATAATCTGCTGGATTGGGGGAAAATGACCCGACAAAAGGGGGATATTCAAAGTTAAAGCCGGGAACAGACGTAGAAAAGGTCAAGGAAGCCATGGCCGACATTTTGAAGCTAAAATAAGGTGCGAAAAAATCGCGAAAGCGCGCGAAATTCCGAAAATCGCGAGAAAACCCGGACGAAAAAAGCGGGAATTTTTGTGGGAAAAATGCCTACGAAATTTGACAAAAAATCGTGGAGAAAGTACTTTTTTGCGGTGAAGAGCGGGTCGCGGGCGTTCCCTTTTCTTTATTCTGGCTTTCCTACGTACTTTTGAGCCGGAATTTGTATTTCCTGCGGCCAAATGCGAGTTTGTGGACAAAAAACCGGACGAAAATTAAGTTTTACAGGAAAAACGGGAGTTTTCGATGGCAAAAGTAAAGTGATGGGTAAAATATTGCTCCATGATGGTCTGCTCTTCTCAACTGGTCATTTGTAAACTGAAATCTTTTGCTGCCAATTTTTTACGAGCAAAAGTTCAGTTCGCGGACCTTATAATTGATGGGCTTGATAAAAACTCATTGTTTCAAGAAGATGGGCGGAGAAAAAAGGATGATAACTGATAACCGGAGGCCTGCCAAGTCTTAGGAGAGATTTCAAAATTGGAAATTGACGGGTTATAAGACCCTACGGGATTTATGGATGCAAACGTAATTTTTTAGGGATAAAAAACGTATTGTTGTAAATACAGTGTATTATGTCAAATAAAAATTGAAAATAGTATTTTAGCCGTACAAGAATAAGTTTATCGACTCAATTGAGCTAGTATTTCGCTTGAATATCCTTTTTTTGCTATCCTATATTACACTGGACCGTTGTCATTTCGCGGATCCTTCACAATTTTGCATAACAAAAGCGGTTTAATTATAGCGAGCAATTGCGTCATTCAGACCAACAAGCCAATTAGTTTGATATTAAAAGTAATTTAAATTACCTTACCCTCATCTAAATACCTTGATATTTCGTTTAATTTCCCCTAAATTTCAATTCGGATTATGTGTAAAGGATGTCATTTGAAGACTAAAAGTCCAGATAATTACCTTACATTACGTTATGTCACTTGAAAGTTCACGATTGCAAATTAATTTTGAAAATTATACGTTTTATCCCTATAATTTACGTTTTTTATCCATAAAATTCCCTTACGCCCCAGGCAACTTTGACTTTTCCGATTTATAAATGCAGCCTACAGTTTGAAAGGCCTCTGGCTATAAATGAAAATCCTTTTTTCCCCGCCCATTTGCTTGAAACCATGAGGTTTTATCAAGCCCGTCAATTATAAGGTCTTGGAACATTTGCTCGGAAAATTAGAAGCAAAAAATTCGGTTTACAAATGACCAGTTGGGCAGAATGAGGCCGTTACTCATCTGGGGACGGTCTTCAAAAGAAAATACGATGGAAAGCTGGGTTAAGAGTGCAATTGAAGTAAAAATTGGGTAAAAAATGTCGAGAAAAGAGTTGATTTATGATATAATTAGTCACTACACTCGCAGTAGCTTAAATCAGGTAAATTTAGACCACTTAGCGACTTCAATCATCGAATTTCCTGGGGTTTTACATCACTTCTTAGAATTTTCTTGCCCTCGAGAAACGTAATCTGTATAAGGCGACTGGAAACGGAAGAGGGTGGCCAAAGAAGCCAATGGACTTTTTGAATCCCCAAAAATTCCCGCTCTTTACAAAAAATTTCTAGCATTTTTCCGCAAACGCCCTTTTTCCACGTCCTAGCCTACGAAATCTCGGAAAAGGATCAAGAAACGTTGACGGCTAAAATTAGCAACATTCGGGCGGATCATTCAGAAAGTTTTTGCAAAGTTTAAAGTTCAAATTGGAGCAAAAAAAAGAGGGCAAGCGAACGCCCGGCCGTCTTCCTGTGGTCCGGGGGTTTTTTGTGACTCTCACCGCGTTCTAAGAGAGGCACAGAGCGAAGCGAACACATAAACGTGCAAAAAGTAGAGAGAGGGCGACAAAAGAAAGCCCACGAATGTCCCAACGCTGACCATAAGAGGGCAAATTGTGGAGGGATGGGGGATATCGGGAAGGGCGTTCTGGACGTGGTATAATCGAAGGGAAAGGGGAAGGAAATGAGGGAATATAAGACAAAAGTGGGAGTAAAAGCCTTTGACTGTAGGCGTAAAGAGAATGTAGAATGCGATTGACTGATTCAGACGATATTTGTGACATTTGTTAAAGCTTTTGAAAATATAGTTTGCAAGGGGAATACAGTTAAAGTTTGGAGCCTAGATTTTGCGGAATGTAAGACAAAAGTGGGAGTAAAAGCCTTTGACTGTAGGTGTAAAGACAATGTAGAATGCGATTGACTAATTCAGATGATATTTGCGGCATTTGTTCAAGTCTGGAGCTTCGATTTTGATGATAGTTGAGACACATTTTCTAAGACATGTGAGATTTTTTAGTTTGCAGTTTTCACTGCTGAGATTTTTAGGCCGAAAGTGCAAGAAATTTCGGCCTAAAAATCTCCGCGGTTTCTGCAAAACGCAAGCTAAAAATCTCGCATGTGTCTTAGAAAACGTGTCCCAGCTATTATCAAAATCGAAGCTCCAGACTTTTACAAATGTCGCACATATCAGCTAAATCGGTCAATCGCATTCTACATTCTCTTTACACCTACAGTCGAGGACTTTTACTCCCACTTTTGTCTTATATTCCGCAAAATCTAAGCTCCAAACTTTAACTGTATTCCCTTTGCGAACTAAATTTTCAAAACTTTCGCTAAGATTTTTCTCGACTTACTTGTGGCTCCAACCATTCCCCAACGACCTCTTCTTGCCCCCAGTGTCATCATATTGGGGATTCAGCGAATTCATCGACTGGTGACCACTGTCAATCTGCAAGGTTTGATTCGAATCCAACGAGATGCAGGTGGAAACTTTTGGGATCTCCAATTGTTCCTGATTTGTCATCTGAAACAGGGCTGAATGCATTTTGATAGGTGCAACGTTATATACAGAAGCTGTCAACACGGGCGGTCTTCGAAAAAAAGTCCGAAAATGCGGACAAAAAACTGATGGCTGAGCTAATTTTCGAGAGAGCAACGATCTTTGACGTGATAAAAGTCGGGAACGAAACTGGGGCAGAAAACGTGAGCAGTTTCGGGGGGAGTTTTCCATTCATAGTCCGTTCGCGTTTTAAATCGAGCACTGCGAGAAGGGACGTATGTGGAAAGAGGATAAAAATAGAAAAAAAAAATGGTATTGAAAATGATGTTTTACAGAGACTAGTGGTTTGCTGCGAAAGCAGCGCATTTTGCCGCGACCAATCTACATTATTTTCCCGACGGTCTGGTATAGCTAAATGCAGTATCTTTTGCTACTGATTAAAGCAAAATGTAGCTCCGTTTGAGCGTCCCTTTACTAGAGTTATCACCTCAAAACCCCTTCTCAAATCCTTACGTCTTGACATGTCATTATCACTAATCCCCCCTTCTCCATCTTTGTCATTCAAATCTCAAGTATAATCCTTCGAACATTACGCTGATTGCATAAGCTTTCGACGGCTTTGTCCGAATATCTCGCACTACCTAAAAAAATGAGTCCCCAAATCGGAGTAGATTAATGGTTTTACGCACACTACGCTGCTGCAGCCTCGATGTTTGATCCGCAAAGTTTTAAAGAAGGAGGTCGGCGATTTGCAAGCGAGATTAGCTGCAGTCTCCAGCACTGCACCAAAAGATGCGGCTGATATTACGGAAGGAAGATGGCTGGGAAAGATTCTGCGGACGCTGTAGTATGTAATACATTGCAAGAGGACTTTAGAAGTTGATAAAGGTGCCGGGTTCACTTTTTTAGGGCGCAAAATTTGTTTCTGTTACTAGTCCGTTCGTAAAGTCACTGTGGTAATTTTTGGCGGTTGCACTATGCAGAAAAAGTCAGAATGTGAGCGACAGCACAAAAAAGCCTATTACACGGTGCAAAAGCAAGAAAGTGAACAATAGAAGGACCGGGCCCACTTTTTTAGGGGCCCAAAATTTTTATTTATGGTTAATTTCTTATGATGTGAAGATGGAGGCCTTAGGGGCTTTTGTCGGGTCTCACTAGGACCTGACAATTCATCTGATCGGTTCCTGAGGCCATGTCTAAACTTAGGGCTCCTCAGAAAATTTTGCAGCCGAAATAAATCAAAACGGCGAACACGAAGCTAAAAAAACAAAACCAACGGCTTTTGCAAGGCACCGTTTTCCAATTTTAACAATAAATCTAATTCCACCTGTAACCATTAGGTAACCGGAGTACAATAGTGCATTCCTAGTCAAATTTAGCGACTAAAAGCATGCTCAAGACATGCTATGCTCTTTAATATTGGATTTGACCTTACAAAAATTCAACTACAATTCATTGTTCCGCAGGAATTTTAGTAAGTTGCACTTTCCGAACGCGTTGTTTCGCTACAAGATATGTTATGTAACGTTGTCGATTTTGTAGGACAAACCTCCTACAAAATTGGTGTTGTAATAGAACATACATGAAAAGTTAAATGCCACTTTAATTATAGCGCGATACTGTACTTGAAGTCATCACAAAGCCAAGTGATATGGCACAGAGCAGATTGCTTAGAGTTCTTTATAATCTCTGAAACTCAAAAAATGTCGGAGCAAAGAGACAAAAAATTGGGAGTTCAACCGTGCTTTTAACGCAACAAAAAACGATTGCAGAAACTTTACAAAAATCGCCGATGCGAGCGAAAAACGAACCCGTTGATCTGTGGCTACTTCCGTAAAAGCCGGGCTAAAATTGGGGGAGTGATTCACCGGGGAATTTAGGAAGTTGGACCTCAAGAATTTATGTGGCCTTGTAATGAAGGTATTTTACATTCTAAAGGTCTAGAGTTTTTCCAAGTATATGTACAGTAGCGGACCTGATCCAGTGGCAAAAAATGTGCCATTTTTGCATCCGGGAAGTATCAAAAAATGTAGCAAAATACCTCTGTCTCCAAGTCAGAAAACTCCGATTTCAAAAACCCGCTCTTTTTGTGAGGGAAAGAACCCTTCATAACGGAGTTCTTTTAGTTGGAGAGGGAGGCATTTTGCCACATTTTTTGATACTTCCCCGATGCAAAATGGTAGATTTTTGCCACTGGATCAGATCTGTCACTGTAGACCACCTAATACAACGTTCTAATCATACATAATTTATTCAAGTTTTACTAGTCTGTTCGCAAAGTCGCTGGAGTGAGTTTGGCTACGCGACATGCACTGAAAACAAAAGTTCACTTTGCACCGTGCAATATGTTTTTTGGGCTGTCGCTCGCATGGCCTTTTTTTCGCACAATGCAAATGTCAAAAATCGCTCCAGCGCCTTTACTAACGGACTAATATTATAATATAAAACATGTATAAATTATGCATTATTATTATTATAATCTTGTGCTAAATGGTCTACGAAAACTTTGAAAAACTCCCAAACTTTAGAACGTAAAATACGTACAACGCCACGTAAATTCCGATTCACCTTGCTGACCATCGGCCTCTAAATAATCCCCATTTCGAATACTTTATGATCGCCCCGGAAATGGGGAGATAATAAAAAACCGCCCAGCTCCCCAATATTCGAATCATAAGACTATGGAAATTTTTCGTTTCCCAACAAAGAATGTGACCGAAGAATGTGGAAATTCGCCTTTTTTTGACCATTCAGATCAATTTTGAGATGGATGAATCAGCGCTCGTAATTATTCAGTACCCAGGGCCCACCTATTTGAAGAGAGGGGAGGGGATTTAGGTTTCGGTGAAATTTAGACGAGGGGCAAAGTACGCGGGGATCCGGTGTTTATGGCCTTCGAGGCTACAGGTTATTTTGGGAGGGCATGCAAACATAAAATCTTTTTTACACATTTACATATAATATGTGTGTATATAATGCCAAAGAACAGAAGTACGATCTGTTCTTTAGCATAAATTGCAGCTGCAAAGCTAATTGGACGGCGCGATTATCGCATTTAAAAAAGGAAATAAAATTAAAAGATCGAAGTACATTTAGGGACCAAAAATTTATTCGTTATAGAGCGATGTCATCCGAGGTTCATTTGGGTCTAAAATTCGAACATGGCAAATATGATGTTTCAGCTTGTCGGCTGATATATCGAAAATAATGACAATTCTGTTGCATCTTTTATTATACTTGTAAGTGGACCGATATCAGCCTGTCGGGAAAATAGTGAGTCTCTGTAGCATCGTCGGCGACAAGATGAATTGTGTCATCTTGTCGCCGGAAAAAGTAAATCAATTTATTTTTACTTCAGTGAAAGCGACAGCGACATTATGCTCATGATTTTCCCGACAGACTGATACGTATAACCAAGGCATCATCTTGTCTCTCGGGTCGACGACAGTTCTCAACACAAAATCGATCAATGCGGGGCGTAGGGCAGTTGGATAGCAAAAAAAGTTGTAGGATGTTCTTATGAGGCCTCGTAGGAACTTCCTAAGCCGTTGGATGCTTGGCGGATGCTCGGCGGAGACTCGGCGAAGATTTGCAACAGGTCCTCTTATTCTAATTTCTACTATTTATTACTCCTAGCCTCAAGCATACAAAATACCGACGCGATCCATAGTATCGTTGACCCGAACTGTCGCTGACGCGAAAAGTTGTATATATATGTTATATATTTCGGCTATACCTCTAAATCGCAGACTGAAATTCCCAACAATCGGTATGTATCCTATTAGGATTGTTGTCGCAAAATGTGAAAGAGATATGATATGCTGAAATTGAGAACGCAGACCTTTTATACAATGTTCCTTTCCTCAAAGTTTTTCTCGCCGCGATATATAGAATTGCATATCATGCCCCACCTCCCTAAGGTCCGCATTTAATAATTGAAGGCCTCCGTTTCAGCTAGCGGAGAAACGGAGGCCTTCAATTCGTCTCCGAAACGGAACGATCAAAGATTGGAAGCGCAACTCGCATTAGGCAGGGAGCTGTCAGAGAAAGGGAACGTGAAGGGCGTCTATAGAAACGACGCATTCTTTGGTCCAGACGGCATTCTGCAGGAAATGTGGCGTGCACTCGTCTAGCACATAAATGGATGGGATCTGACATTTTGCGAGCGGAAAATGTGAAACAAATCGGAAATATCAAAATTCTTGAAGAAAGGATGGAATTACTCCAAAATGCGGCCTCGGAAGGTTGTCAAATTTTTGTAGGCTATGCTGTGACGGGGTTACGAGATATTACCAGTCCGTTCGTAAAGTCGCTGAAGTGATTTTTGACGTCAGCACTGTGCAGAAAAAGTCAGGGTGCGAGCAACAGCTCAAAAAAGCCTAATCTCAAACGTAGAAGCCCTAAAAGAGTCGATAAGGCACCCTTTCTTTGACGAAAAATCCGAACAGTCCTGTCGACCGAAGAGGCCCTCTTTTTGAAAAAATAAAAAAATTGCAAAATGAAGGGTGACATGTTATGCGATGTGAAAACACCTGTTTTTTCATTTTGAAAAAAAAATTTCCGTCGTATAACATGTCTCGTTTAAAAATTTTCCCCCTCATTTAAATCTTTTTAGTTTTTTCAAAAAGGGGGCACGTCAAAACAATTCTTTCAGAAAATTGAAAAAACAACGAATCTCGGATCATTGATTTTTTGCGAAGTGCCACAGAATTATCGAGCTTGAAAAACTATTTTCCTCTTCGAAAAAACATTTTTCTCGAAATTCTCTGGGAACGTTTTCTTTTGTGACTCGATAATCCAGCGACATTTCGTCAAAAATCAATGATCCGAGATTCCTTGTTTTTTCACTTTTTCTTTGACGTGGGGGGCCTCTTCTCTCTAGGTGAGCAGACACGTCGCTGAAGTGACAAACAATTTGATTTTTCCGCGAGACAATTCATTTCCTCGACGGCGCTGCGATTTTCGACGCGACAGAGTGCTCATTATTTTCCCGACAGACTGTTAAGTCTTTCAAATTTCTAGAA